CTCTCTCTCTCACTGTCTAACTCTCCCTGTCAAAAAAATAAATTAAATTAAATTAAATAAATGGAGACGCTTGTGAGTCAGGAGCGACGTTTGTTCAAGACTTTGCACCAGATCTAGAATGTGGCTGACATTACTCGTGGAGCAAATGAATGGAGGGGGACCCTCAGCTTTCTATTTGAGGGCAGATATATTTATTTATTTAAAGGTTTATTTATTTATTTGAAAGAAAAAGTGTCAGGGAGAGGGAGAGAAAGAGAGATCTTCTACCTGCTGGTTCATTCCTCAAATGGCTGCAACAGCTAGGCGTAGGCCAGGTTGACACCAGAATCCAAGAACTCCATCCGGGTCTCCCACATGGGTGGTAGGGACCCACACATTTGGACCACCTTCCACTGACTTCCCAGACATACCAGCAGGAAGCTAGATTGGAAGCAGAGCCACTGGGATTTGCACGGGCTCCAGTATGGATGCCAGTGTCCTAAGACACCGCTTGACCCATTGTGCCACAACGCCAGCCCTTAAATCTATCTCTGTATCTTCATTGCATCATAGGCCTTTGGTCTTGACGTCAGTATCTCCTCACTGGCCCTTTCGGTTTCCTAGGCTTGGCTGAGGGTCTCTTTTTCTTAGCACTGCAACTATGTCCCCCAGGCCCTGTGGCTATCTATGTCACTCGTTTATCATTGTCTTCTTCCCTTGTTCATCCATCACAAGTGTGCGTGTGTGTGTGCGTGTGCGTGTGTGTGTGTGAGAGAGAGAGAGAGAGAGAGAGAGCTTCCCCCCAAGACTAGTGGGGGTTCACTCCCAGGACTCCCCGTGAATACCACATCCACAGATGCTCACGTCCCTTGGGTCAGGTGGCATAGTGTTTTCATATATGTGTATCTTCTCACGTATTATACATCTTTTCCAGATTGTTCATCCTACCTCATACAATGTAAGAATTAAAGCAACATAGCAAACGTTCATTCAGGCGACAGCCGACCTGTAGCCATCTAGGGAGATCCAGGTTCATAAAGGCTACACATGGATGTCCCTTTCGCAGTGGCCATGTCTCTATTTACAGTTCAGACACTACCCTCCAGACAGGGCGGGCTCAGCGGGACTGTCAATCAAAGTGCCTGACCCCCCAACCAAAGCTGGCCCTTGACTGAAACTAAGTAAATAGAGGCCATGCCCCAAGGAAATGAGATTTTAAGCCATGTGACACCAGGAACCTGAATGGCAACACAGGTTCACTCCAGAGGGGCAGGGCTGCCTGTCAGTCCCTACTCTGGATCTCTGGAAACACCCCAGATCCAGGCCTATTCCTGTAATTCGTTGGGCTATTCTATAGCCTTTTTTAATTATTATTATTTACTTACTTATTTTTATTTATTTATTTGAAAGGCAGAAAGAAACAGAGATGGAGAGAGCTCTCCCATCTGCTGAGTCACTGCCCAAATGCCCGCAACAGCCAAGGCTGTTCCAGATCAAAGCCAGAAGCCTGGAACTCCATCTGGGTCTCCCACATGGTGCCAGGGGCCCAAGAACTCAGGCCATCACCTGCTGCCTTCCAGGGTGCGTATTAGCAGGAGGCTGGTTTGGAAGCAGAGCCAGAATGCAAACCCACGCATTCCCATATGGGATGGAGGAGTCTTAACCACTGACCCACAGTGCCTGCATCCTCCATGGCCTTTTGTTTTTGTCTCCAGTTTTCCACAGCTCATTGCCATTGTTTGGAAGCGCAGAGCCCAGAGTGACAAGTGTGTGCGTGTGTTTGAGAAATTCATCTGTTTGGCTGCTGCGCATTAACCAGGAGCTGTCACACAGAGCAAGGCCAGCCTCGGCCGCCAGGCTGTTCCTCCCTTAAATCCACGTGCACCTGCCCTGTTCCAGATGCCCGAGCACCCACCGTTGCTTCTCTTGATCAGTCTTTAGATACAGCCCTTTCCTGTATATAATAAAATCTGCTATCTCTTTGGGTGCATTTCGCTGCTATTTGCAGAACAATTGGGACTCTATCCCTATTTGTTTACTTAAGCAGAAACCAGCTAAACCAGAATGAAATCAGCCTACCCAAGTCCCTCCCATCTCTTTCCACCTGGACTCTCTGACAACAGGTGACCTCGGGGCGAAGTTGGCACAAAAGGACAAGAGACAGGACTTCCAACTGGGCGGCGTTTTTAGCACAGAGTGAGTCTGTGCTGCGGCATCGGAGTTGTCAGGTGCCTGGTCTGGGACGTGCACTCTGCTTTTCTCTCCTCTCCTCTCCCTCCTTCCTCCTTCCCTCTCCCACTTCCAGTTCTGCCTCTCTGGGCACACAGTGTGCCAGCATCTGGTGACTCCTGCTAGTCACCTACCTTTGGCAGACTAAGGGACTCCCCAGAGGCCCCAGGGGAGGATCAACACTGTTCTTCTCCGTAGCTGCTAGCTGGCCTGGCAGCCTTGGTGGCCTTGAGCAACAACAGTGGTTTTCATTGTTTTCAAGTCAGGCAAGATCCGCCCTGGCAGCCTGATGCATCCCAGAGCGAGCACTCACAGCAGCCCGGCGTTCGTGACCTGCTGGGGGGCAGGTGCTGGGGCTGCTTCCTCTGTCTGCCCCGATGGATGCAGTGGATCAGTGGTCGACTGACCTATAGCAAAGTGTACATGGCTACTTGATCTTAACTCCTGATCAGCATGAGGGCACGCGAGTCATCTACGCAGAGTAGGGAGAAGCAAGACTCCCAGGGACTTTCAGGAGGCGAAAGGATTGGTAGTGAGTGCCCATGAGAGTGAGTACCGGGGGCTGGTGTCATGGTCAGTGGGGTATGTCACTGCTTGAGGCACCGGCATCCCGTATCGAAGTGCTGGTTCGAGTCCCAGCTGCTACACTTCTTAACCAGCTCCCTGCTAATGCTCCTGGGAAAGCAGTGGAAGATGGCCCAAGCACTTGGGCCCCTGTGACCCATGTGGGAGACTGAAATGGAGTTCCAGGCTCCTGGCTTTGGTCTGGCCCACCTCTGACCATTGCAGCGAATGGGAAGCAAATCAGTGGATGGAAGATCTCTTTCCTTTTCAGTCTCTCCGTCTCTCTGTCTCTATCTTTCAGGCAAATAAAATAAGTCTTTAAACATATATATGTGTATCTTTATGAAAAGAGAGAGAGTGAAGCTGGACTCTGGGCCCAGCTCTACTAGACTTTGGTATTAATTTGGGCAAATTACTAATGCTTCCCAAGACTCATCTGTACAGTGGAGATACTAGGCACTCAGTCTCCATCATCCTTGTGATGATCAGATGACGTAACACCTAAGAAGTCCCCAGCCTGGAGAGGGGTGCATGGTAAAAATGCAATACATACGAGCACTGTGTTACGGGCAGTGACATCATCAGGGACTAGCCACTAGGGGCGGGGTAGCCTGTGTGACTTTGGCCAGCACTGGGACCTTTCTGGGAGCAATGGCTTCAGGAGCACCTCCCCAGGGAGTCAGAATTGGAGACCAGAGTAGGGCCAGCATAGATCAAGGCCAAGAAGAGTTCACCTGACCCATCAACTCCACACCGGTGCAAGCCCTAAGGGTTAGACCTCACTCTAGGGAGGAGAAAGAAGAGAACGTGAATCCTGGGGTTCTGTGGCCATGTGTGTGTGTGTGTGTGTGTGTGTGTGTAGAAAATACCCACATCTGCTATACCTGGCAGAAATGGAAACAGAGCAGAAGCATTTGGCATAAAGCCACCCACATCTCATCTCCCCCGCCCCTGCATCCCTCACTCCTCTCTTCTCTCCTCGAGGGAAACCGAAGGGCCGCATGGACAGCCGGGCACTGCTGGGAAGGTTTGTTGGCACTCAGTGCTGGAGGATTGAAACTCTGGACTCCAGGTGACCGCTGCTGCTCAAACAGGAGACCAGCGCACTGGCACCTGGCCGAGGGCAGACTTTCCAGTAGAGCGCAGGTGCCCTGGTTTGGATGTGCCTATCCTCATCAAAACTCACGTTGATATTGGATTGCCAATGACACCGTGTTGGGAAGCGGGGGTTAATGTCCTTGAGAAACTGGATTAGTCTTCATGGGAGCGGATCGGTCCTTGAGAAAGTGAGTTATTGCAAAGTGCGTCAGCTCCTTCCTTCATCCCCACCCTCCCTTCCACACACACCTGCTCACCACTACTGCATATGACGCCTGAGCATCAATCCTTGCCAAATGCAGCCACCCAGCCTCAATGTTTCTGGAACTGTGGACTTCCTAACCTCTTTTCTGTATCAGTTATTCAGTCTCAGTCATTCTGCTACGGCAGCAGAAGATGGGCTGACACAGCAGGGAAGCTGGGTGGGCATAGAGGCAGGACGGCCATCAAGCTGGATGACTGAAAGCGAGGTGGCGTAGGGATAGGATGGAGGTATGGATTCTACGCACATCCCCAAGTGAAAACTCTGGGGGCCTCATGGAGATGGGATTTGGGACCCAGATGATAAGAACGAGGATGCTGGAGCCAGGGATGGGTCAAAGGTGAGGGGGCTTAATGATGGTATCTTCACTCAAGGTAACTTGGAGTCCCAAGGGCAAGTCCAAGTGTAGACTGTTGAGCATGCGATTATCCACCCACAGTCATCTCAGAACCCTTTTACAGTCTTACAAACTATTGACAGCACAAAGAACTTTCGATAAAATAGGTTTTATCTATCAGTGTTAACTGCATTACAGGTTAGAACTGAGGGGCTGCTATTGTGATGCAGTGGGTTAAGCCCCTGCCTGTGATGCTGGCAAACTGTATGAGAGTGCTGGTTAGAGTCCTGGCTGCTCTGCTTCCCACCCATGTGCCTGGGAAAGCAGTGCAAGACGGCCCAAGTACTTGGGCCCCTGCTATCCACGTGGGAGACCTGGATGGAGTTTCAGGCTCCTGGCTTTGGCCTGACCCAGGCCTGAATGTTGCAGTCATTTGGGGAGTGAATCAGCAGATGAAAGATCTTTCTCTCTCTCTTTCTCTCTGTCACTCTGCCTTTCAAATACATACAATAAAATTTCTAAAAAAAAAAATTTGAACTGAAACAAAATATTTATTAGCTTTTTAAAAGTCACAAGAAACCCATTATATATTAACATATTAGCATGACTATATTTTTAAGTCTATGGATTCTCACATCTTCCTTTGCATTCAGTTTGCTGTGCTATCCTTTGTTAGTTGAAATGGAGAAAAACTCAGGAGCCCCCTTGGACAACCGCTGGTCTAGGAAGAGGCCACGCCTTCGATAAATGCTTTGAAACAATCTGCCTGGAGAGGAGAAGGGGTGATGTGAGAGCAAACAACCCTTCTTGGGAGGAGGGAGAAAAGGTAGACAGCCAAGATCTGAGCACTGGGTACATGTGCACAGATCACCTTCCTTATCTACAAATCCCGTGTTTGCAAATTCTTCTGCTTGCTCAATTTTTTTTGCAACCCTCCAGTCTTTACTTCCGGCACTCTGTACTCATTTCCAGACACACACTGGGAGATGGAAGCTTGTGCCTGTTTTCAGCACGGGTCTGCTGGAGCTCACAAGTTGATACTTCTAAATGAGGACCTTGGAAGTAGTGTCAGGAGCTAAGTCTCCCTCTGACCCTGGCCTCCCCTCCACGCCCCAGCCAAGCCTCCTCTTCTCCATAGAAACCAGAACCCCTGCTCCCCAAAGCCAGCCACAAGCCCTAAGAGCATCACTCTGACTTTTCCGGGTCTCCCTGGCCGGGAATAAATCAACACCTTCCTTGCAGAGGGGTCCTGGTTCATGCCAGGAGGAGGAAATCCTACAACTGGGGGGCAAGAATCCCCGTCTAACACCACTCATTCACACCCTCTTCGTCCAATCCCATTGCCACACACCGGCCCCGCTTGCTGGTACCCAAGCATCCATGCGCACACGCACAGCCCACCCAGGGGCTTGAGGTCTCCAATCTGAGGGCTCTGATGCCACAAACGTGCACACACACACACACACACACACACCTGTGAGCAAGTAAATGACTTCTGCTTTTCTCTCCTTAACTTGCCCTCCTCCTCTAAGAAGACGGGGTGGGGAGTTGAGAAAATACCGAAATAAAGTGGCAGATGGCAAACACGAGCTGATTTAGCGAGGAGCGAGCCGAGGTTCGCACGCGTTGGAAGCGGGGGCAGGCTGGCTTTTCGGAGGGAGGCCGAAGGGTGAACGTTGCCGGCAAGGGCGCTCCGACGGACCTTTCCCACCAGGGAGTGCTAGAAAGGCGGACGCCTTTTGGTTCACTCCGGGTAGAACGCGGCTGCGAGGTGGGGAAGGCAGCGCGCGCTCTGTTTTTCAGTTAGTTTGCCGCCGGCGAGCAGCGGCAGGTGCGCAGGGACTTCGCGGTCATGGCTCACTTCCACCACCTGGTGCCCGCACACTTAAATTGCAAGGCTTGCTGGTTGAGAAACAGGGAAGGGTCCTTCCGCTAATCGGAGGAAACCCTTTGAGATGGAGTTAGTCCAAACAGGTGCTAATTATCTTTTCCCTGTAAACAACAACTGCTCCTTCTACACCCACCCCTACCTTAGTGCCCTCTTCCTTGGGTTAGGGTGCATTCTCTGCTGTGTCTTCTCACCGATGTCTGACACACCCTGAGCTGTCCAGGATGTGACACTGGATGGTGTGTCAGGCGACTGCTCACCAAAGACTTTTTTTTTTTAATTTATTTATTTTTTTTATTTTTTTTTTGACAGGCAGAGTGGACAGTGAGAGAGAGACAGACAGAAAGGTCTTCCTTTGCCGTTGGTTCACTCTCCAATGGCCGCCACGGCCAGCGGCTGCGGCCGGCGCACCGCGCTGATCCGATGGCAGGAGCCAGGTACTTCTCCTGGTCTCCCATGGGGTGCAGGGCCCAAGGACTTGGGCCATCCTCCACTGCACTCCCTGGCCACAGCAGAGAGCTGGCCTGGAAGAGGGGCAACCAGGAAAGAATCCGGCGTCCCGACCGGGACTAGAACCCCGTGTGCCTGCACCACAAGGTGGAGGATTAGCCTAGTGAGCCGCGGCGCCAGCCATCACCAAAGGCTTTTGATCCAGGCTGTGGGAGAGACCTTGCAGCTCTGTTAGCTTTTTTTTTTTTTAATTTTATTTATTTATCTGAGAGGTAGAGTTATAGACAGTGAGAGAGAAAGACAGAGAGAAGGATCTTCCCTCTGCTGGTTCACTCTCCAAATGGCCACAATGTCTGGAGCTGTGCCGATCCAAAGCCAGGATGCCAGGAGCTTCTTCCCTGTCTCCCACGTAGGTGCAGGGGCCCAAGGAATTGGACCACCCTCCACTGCTTTCCCAGGCCACAGCAGAGAGCTGGACTGGAAAAGGAACAGCCAGGACTAGAACTGGCATCCACATGGAATGGCAGCACCACAGGCAGAGGATCAACCTACTGTGCCACGGCGTCTGCTAGCTTTCTTACAAGACAGAGTTTGGTGCTGCTCCCTTGCTACGATCTGGAAAGCCAAGGGCCACTTTGAGGTAGTCACGGCTCTTCCTCTGTTGCACCAAGAGCTCTGAATCCCCGTGTTAGTAGCTAATTCTATTTCCTTTCCAAGCACTCTGTTTGAAGAGGTAGACAGCCATGGCCAACAGGGGTTGGGGGTGGGCCAGGGGAGGTTTGCAGTCATTGTGCAAGCCATCATTGTGTCACTCTGGCACAGTGGGCTAAGCCATCACCTACAGTGCCGGCATCCCATATGAGCTGGTTCGAGTCCCAGCTGCTCCACTTCCCATCCACTCTCCTGCTAATGCACCGAGAAAATCAGCAGAGGATGACCCAAGTGCTTGGGCCCCTGCCACCCACATGGGAGACCCAGATGGAGTTCCTGGCTCCTGGCTTCAGCCTGAAGTTGCAGATGGAAGATCTCTCTCTCTCTCTCTCTCTCTCTCTCTCTGTGAGTGTGTGTGTGTGTCCCTCCCTCTCTAACTGTGCCTTTCAGATAAATATATAGGTCTTTAAAAAAATTAGTATATTGCCGGTGCAGATTTTCTAGGATGTTTATTTCCTATTTTCACTCGTGTTTATATTATTTTTATTTTTTGACAGGCAGAGTTAGTGAGAGAGAGAAAGAGAGACAGAGAGAAAGGTCTTCGTTCTGTTGGTTCACTCCCCAAATGGCCGCTATGGCCAGCACGCTGTGCCAATCCGAAGTTAGGAGCCAGGTCCTTCTCCTGGTCTCCCATGGGGTGCAGGGCCCAAGCACTTGGGCCATCCTCCACTAAACTCCCTGGCCACAGCAGAGAGCTGGCCTGGAAGAGGGGCAACCGGAACAGAACCGGCACCCCAACCGGGACTAGAACCCGGTGTGCCGGCGCCGCAAGGCGGAGGATTAGCCTAATGAGCCGCGGTGCCGGCGCTAATTCTTGAGTACCTACCATGCGTGTCAAATGACCAAGCGCCTTTGTGTACCAACAAGGGAGAAAAGGAGATGTTTCCATCCATGCCCGCTCATGAACAAGGAAAATCCACAGAAGCTGCAGCTCCCCAGGCTGGCAGGAGCGCCCCCCAGGGAGGCAGCAGAAGCAACAAGTGAGTGTGGAAAGACTGGGACTGCCTCCATCAGTGCCGGGCCCCTGCCCCAGAGACGGATGCCAGCGCCCTTCCGCCCGCTCCCGCCGGGCAACCAGAGGCCAGCACTGCCTCCAAGCTCGCGCGTCCCTCTCCAGGGAAACAGGAGGCGGGGAAAATGAGCCTGTCCCCCCCCCCCCGCATCAATTAGTTCAACAAGAATTTAGGTTTGCAAGGGAGAAAGTGATGTTTTCCTCACTCACTGCTGGGCTCACGGCCGAGGCCCCTACAGCAGAAGACGAATGAACGCAAGAAAAGCACACAAACATGTTTCAGCTACGTTGTCCATGACACAGGGTCCTCCAAGAAATCAAGATCCAAAGGAACGCACGTGTTCCTAGACTTAGATCCAATGCAGGTGGACAGTTGTACAGAGGGATGACTGCACAAAAGTGGGTCTGGAATCCGGCGCTGTAGCCTAGTGGATAAAGCTACCGCCTACAGCACTGGCATTCCATATGGGCACCGGTTCAAGTCCCAGCTGCTCCACTTCCAAACCAGCTCCCTGCTGATGGCCTGGGATAGCAGTAGAAGATGGCCCAAGCCCTTGGGCCCCTGCACCTACATGGGAGACCCGGAAGAAGCTCCTGGCTTCAGATGGATGCAGCTCTGGCCACTGCAGCCAACTGGGGAGTGAACCAGCAGATGGGAGACCTCTTCCCCTCTCAAATAAAATAAATAAATCTTTTTTTAAAAAAGATTTTATTTATTTATTTGAGAGAGAGAGTTACAGACAGTGAGAGAGAGAGAGACAGAGAGAAAGGCCTTCCTTCCATTGGTTCACTCCCCAGGTGTTAGCAATGGCCAGAGCCGTGCCGATCCAAAGCCAGGAGCCAGGTGCTTCTTCCTGGTCTCCCACATGGGTGCAGGGGCCCAAGCACTTGGGCCATCCTCCACTGCCCTCCCAGGCCACAACAGAGAGCTGAACTGGAAGAGGAGCAACTGGGACTAGAACCTGTGCCCATATGGAATGCCAGTACCGCAGGCGGGGGATTAACCTACTGCACCATGGCACCGACCCCAAATAAATAAATCTTTTTAAAAAAAGTGGGTCTGATGGAATAGCCATGCCTGGGGGAACTTAGCAAGGCCTGGGCTTGGAATGCAGTGCCAAGGCACTGTGGTCTGCTGAGTCTTTGCCACTCAAGGAGATGGGAAGGCCTACAGGAGCCAACTCCCTCTTGAGCCGCTTCAGCCCCACTGTCTCCCACCCCATTTTCTCCCCAAAGCAAATCACAGAAGCCAAGACTCCTCTCCCCCAAGGCAGGCACGGACACCAGAATCCCTCTCCTGGAGCAGGTCCTGACACCTGTCCTTTCTGGTCATGTCCTTTCTCCTTTGACAAGCTTCTCCTGACAGGTGTCCCAGCCTGTAGCCGGCGGGCAGGAAGGGCACCCGGCGGCCAAGCAGCTTCTGGGCACACTTCTGCCCAGGCCATGACTCCTGGAGCCTGCCTTTTGTCCAGTCCCCGGGCTCCAGTCTCCGTCCAACAGCCAGGGCTGGGCCAGAGCCCAGAGGCAGGGAGCTGGTCCCTGGTCTCCCATGTGGGCAGCAGGGACCCAGACACCACCATCTGCCACCCACCAGGTGCATCAGCAGGAAGCTGGATTGGAAGCAGAGCAGCCAGGACTCCAGCCTGTACTCTGATATCTGCTCCAACAGAAGGAAGGTTTAATATAAAAACTGAACTATGGTATAAAAAAATCATGCATCGCGAGACAGAGAGGACCCTGAGGAATACCCTCGTGGGGAACAAGGCTACTCAAGGAAGGGAGAGCCCTTGCTGAGGCTGGAAGGCAAGAAGAGGTGTTTGCTGGGCTGCTAAGGGCTGGACAAGCAGAAATTAGCCCTGCGGGGCAGCCACGCACAGAAAAACCACAGGCAAGACCGGCCTACCGGAAAGGCGCCCTGCCGAGACGCCAGCCGCGGGGATCCACTCACTACTGCAGCGTGCAGGGCCGAAAGCCACTGGCTCGCCTCCAAGCCCCAGACCCAGTGCTGGCCACAAAACTGCAGGAGCAAACAGCAGCGGACCCCGGGCGCCTGGAGCAGAAGTCCCTTCCTCCCGCGCGACTCTCTGCTGCCCTCTAGTGACAGAGCTCTCGACACCAGCCCAGCTGCAGAGCAGTAGCTGTGAAAGGAGCCCGAGGCGCGGTCACGGGGCAGGCAGTGCGGTGCAGTGCAGTGCGGACTCTGCATTGGCAGCGACGGGAGAATCGTCACCAGTTGTGTGCCTTGCGTCACGGTACGAGCCGCGTTGCCAGCGGAGCCACGCGCTGCTGCTCCACTTCAGGCGCCCTGTGCTCGTGGCTTAACAATGGACTTTGTTCTTGCTTCTTTATCACCAGCCCCTGAACTCGCCCCTCCCTCCACAGGGGAGCCACAGTCTCGGCGCTAATTCTGGCCACATGCCGTGCCAGCTGGGTGAGGCAGACACGGGACAGAGCTGCAGAAACAGAGATGAAGTTTACGCTCAGTGGCAATCGCCTGTGTGGCCGATTTTCAGAGGCCACTGACTCGGTGGGGGTCTTTACCTCGCCCAAAGGTGACCCCACAAGGGCCGTGCTCACTCCCTGGGAAGCCGCTGCCCTCCTGGCTTCTCGCTAGCCCTCTTACCCAGGGAAACACAGCCACAGCATGGCTCACGAGCACGGGGCAATGATGAGTTGTGTGAAAGCCAAGGAGAAGGACAATCGTGCCATCAGACCTGGGCCATCAAAGTCAAACCCATCTCGATCGGCAAAGGGCATGCTGTGTGCACTACAGATTTCCTTAAGGGCTGTCGCTCCAGAGAAATAAAACTGGTCTGATTAACTTGCAGGACTCTGGTCTTTTAATGACCACAGTGGAAAACGATTCCACGTGACAAAGGTCTACAATTTCAACTCCCTCTCATGGAAAACTCATAGAATTCCAGCCAAGCACAAACCTATGGTTGGGCTGTCTCTCACCACGACATAGAACCTTGCCCTTTAGAGTGGTGAAGTTCTGAGTTTTTGAACAACCGACTTAGAAACGAATTTTTGAAATTTGATGCACGTGGACATTTGATGCAGTGTACTGGGCACTGCTGATTTCCAAGGTGTGACCATGAAATTGCTTCCATGATATTAATTAAAATACGGCCTGTGGGGGCCAGTACTGTGGCATGATGGCTGGAGCTGCCGCCTGTAGTGCCTGCATCCTATATGGGCGCCAGTTCAAGTCCCGGCTGCTCCACTTCCAATCCAGCTCTCTGTTATGGTCTGGGTCAGCTCTGCGGGCATCTGGGGAGTGAACCAGCGCATGAAAGATCTCTCCCTCTCTCTCTGCCTCTGCCTCTCTGCCTTCAAATAAATAAATAAATCTTTCAAAAATATACCCTGTAACATCACACAACATATGCAACATGTTCATTTTTGTATCGACGCAACATTGTCGTGCATCTTGAAGGAAGTTATTTGCATTATGACTACTTGATATGTTGTCATGTGTTTGTATTCCCTGGACACACAGGGATGAAACACACAGGGGGGCTTAAGACAGACCGGTTGGATTAAATGGGAATTAAAATGCAATTAATTTAATCATTAACATCATTTGATACTTGTACTTGCTATTAAATCATTATATACGTCGCACTATGTTATTTTAGGGCCACGATTATTCATGTGCTGTATTCCAGTAGTGGGCATAACTGATAATTACTGAGTCTGTGTCACATTTGCCCACGTGGGGACTCTGTGCTACACACCAACATTTCATGCTGGCCGCGGCAGGACACTCGGCGGCTCCAACAAACAAAACTCACTTTTTTTTTTTTTTTTTTGACAGGCAGAGTGGACAGTGAGAGAGAGAGAGAGGACAGAGAGAAAGGTCTTCCTTTGCCGTTGGTTCACCCTCCAATGGCCGCTGTGGCCGGCGCGCTGCGGCCAATGCACCGCGCTGATCTGATGGCAGGAGCCAGGTGCTTCTCCTGGTCTCCCATGGGGTGCAGGGCCAAGGACTTGGGCCATCCTCCACTGCACTCCCGGGCCACAGCAGAGAGCTGGCCTGGAAGAGGGGCAACCGGGACAGAATCCGGCGCCCCAACCGGGACTAGAACCCAGTGTGCCGGCGCCGCAAGGCGGAGGATTAGCCTAGTGAGTCGCGGCGCCGGCTAACTCAAACTTTTTAAAGTTCGTGTGATCAGTAGGTTTCTTCCATGGGTGGGTTTTCTTCCTTTGCATTTCATTTGAGAACCAAAAAACATTTTAGGATTGCAAAGAATGTAGAAGCCCTAAGCGCACTTTGGGACCAGCCAGCTGTGAATTGCTTTACACAGAAAGCTGTGCACGCCTGGAATGTTCAGGAAACTCACCGTTTCCTTGGGGGGAGGGGAGTTGGCTCTAGTTGTCGCTCTTTACTGAATGAATGGATTTTCCAGACGATAGGCAAAACACCACTGTCTACACCCAGCACAGAAAGGGAGGATAAAATGAGTGAGCAGTTAGAGTGTGCGCATGACGACGAATCTAGTCTCTGCTTAGTCGCTTGCGAGCTGTGTGCGAGACAATCTGAAGTTTGCCGACATGAAGACTAAAACAGTGACCGCAGTACTTTAGGTGGGCAGGAAAGGAGGCAGACCTTACCCAAATTAGGCTCCAGAACGATTAAAACTTGAATGCAGGGCACAACAAGTATATGAAGATGTAGGAAGAAGCCTGTGTTCTCATGTTACAGAATCTCAGGGTTGGGAAGCCTCACTAAGAAAAGTGAATCCAAAGTGATCCAGAATAAGATTATTGGTCGGACCACACGGAGACCCGAAATCCTCTGTACAGTCTGCTCTGGACAGAATGTTGGCGTCCCCTCGGAATCCGGGTTAGAGGACGTCGGCGGGACAGGCCAGTGGTCCTGTAAGAGGAGACACCAGAGGGCGCCCTCTTTCTCGACCCCGTGAGGACACAGTGAGAAAGTGGCCATTGGCAGGCCAGGCCAAGGCCTCATGGGAGCCCATGGAGTGTGCACCCTGAGCTCAGACTTCCAGCCTCCAGAACTGTGCTAAATAAATTCCTGTTGTGTAAGCCAGCTGGTCTATTTTTTTTTCTTAAACTTGCATTTATTTTTATTTTAAAAATTGATTTGAAAGGCAGAGAGACAGAGACAGAGAGAACTCTCAACCACTGGTTCACTCTCCAAACACCCACAAGAGCTGGGATTGGGCCAAGCCAAAAAGAGGAACCTGGAACTCAATCCAGGTCTCCCATGGAGGTGGCAAGGACCCAAGTACTTGGACCATCCATCACCTGCTGCCTCCCAAGGTCCGTACCAGCAGGGAGCTGGAATCAAACGTGGAGCCAGGACTTGAACCCTGGCACTCCAACAAAAGATGCAGGCGTCCCAGGCGGCATCCTAACCACTGTGACATATGCCCACCCCTAGTCTATGGCATTTTATTAAGGCAGCCAGAACAGATTGGTACACAGCGCGAGGAAAGTTTGAAAGCCAGAAGTGTGGAAAATATTATGGGCAATGTACTTAATGGGTGACAGGTTCATAGCTTCAAAATACAAAAAAAGTTTTAGAATAAATCAGCTGGAAAAATATACAGCAAAAAATAAGTACATGAGGTATGGATATGGTAATTAGCTTGACTTAACCATTTCACAATGTGTATCTATCACAACGTCAGGTTGCATACCATAAATATATATATAATAATTTTGTTTGCAAACTATACCTTAATAAAAAATATTAAAGTGGCTTTTATGGTCTATGCATGAAATAGAGTCCTACACATCCATTAAAAATGATGACACGTGTCTATATTGACATGTGAAGAGTTAGGCAATGTATTGAGTGGGAAAAGAGAATGGGAAACATCTTTGCAAAATATGACTCTATTCTTCAGTGTGTGCACAAACAGAAAAGATGTGTGAAGAGATACAGGTCAAAGTACTTACAATGATCATTGCTGGGTGCTAGACCTAGGATGATTTTTGATTTTTCTTTATTCCTTTCCATATTTTCTGCATTTTAAAGAAATCTATTTCTTTTAGGCCGGCCCTATGCCATAGCAGGTAAAGCCACTGCCTGCAATGCTGGCCTCCCATATGGGCATCACTTCGAGTCCTGGCTGCTCCTCTTCCAATCCAGCTCTCTGCCATGACCTGGGAAAGCAGTGGAAGATGGCCCAAGTCCTTGGGACCCAGCACCTTCATGGGAGACCCAGAGGGAGCTTCTGGCTCCTGGCTTCAGATGGGTGAAGCTCCAGCTGTTGCAGCCAATTGGGAAGTAAACCAGCAGATAGAAGACCTCTCTCTCTCTCTCTCTGTGTCTACCTCTCTCTGTAACTCTGCCTTTCAAATAAATAAATAAATCTTTTTAAAAATCTATTTCTTTTAGAGTCAGAAAAAACTGATTATACCTTAAAAAATGAATGAATAAAGAGTGAATAAATAGAGTGTGTGTATGCATGTTGAGGGGGGGGAGGAGCCATAAGTTTATCTTGGGGTGGTGTTGGTGTAGCATTTAAGCCACTGCCCGGGACCAGCACATCCCTGGGTTCAAGCCCCAGCGTCTCCACATTGGATCGAGCTTCCTGCTAAAGCACACCCCAGAAAGCAGCAGATGATGGCTCAGGCACTTAGGTCCCTGCCACCCACATGAGAGACCTGGATGGATTTGGGGGCTCCTGGCTTCAGCTTGGCCCAGCCTGGGCCATTGCAGGCATCTGGGGAGTGGAAGAGCAGATGGAAGATCTCTCTCTGTCTGTCTGTCTCTGTTTCTTTCTCTCTGTCTCTCTGCCTTTCAAATAAAATGTTTTAAAAACTGTAAAGAAAGAAGTTTATGCACATGAATTAGGTAGCGGGTGGGGTGAGAGACATGACAGCACCGTGTGCAGCCACGTCCAGACGCAGTATCTGTGTTGGGTCTCCACCAGCAGCCCCTCTAAGCTGTCTCCCTGCCCTTCCCGCCCTGTGCCCAGCGACCACTCCTAGCTCCTGGGCTTCCAGCCAGGTTTCTGGTGGGGGTCACAGAGCACAAGCGTGCGCTAGGCTGGATCTCCCCTCCCCCTGCCACCCCAGCCACTTCCCTGTATGGGTGCCCAGGTCGCGCTGCTGGCTGCAAACTGTCCTTGCCACCAAGTCCTTAGCCTGCGTGTGGAGGCTCCGTCCCTTCCTCAGAAAGATGGGGCAGGCCTGTAACCACA